CACAACCTCTGCCTCCCGGGTTCAAGCGATTCTCCTGCCTCAGCCTCCCGAGTAGCTGGGATTACAGGCATGTACCACCACGCCCGGCTAATTTTGTATTTTTAGTAGAGATAGGGTTTCTTCATGTTGGTTAGGCTGATCTCGAACTCCTGACCTCAGATGATCCGCCCACCTTGGCCTCCCAAGAACCTAATCATATTTTATAAAAAGCATTTTGAGCCAGGCATAGTGGCTGACATCTGTAATCCTAGTACTTTGGGAGGCCAAGGTGGGCCAATTGCTTGAGCTCAGACATTCAAGAAGTTCATCTTGGCAACATGGCAAAACCCTGTCTTTATAAAAAGATCAGCCAGGTATGGTGATGCATATCTATAGTCTCAGCTACTTGGGAGGATCACCTGAGCCTGGGAAGTTGAGGCTGCAGTGAGCTGTGATCATATCACCGCTCTCCAGCCAGATGGACGGAGTGAGCCAAAAAAAAAAAAAAGAAAAAAAAAGCATTATGAAGATTTCTCCAGGCTTTGGCAACTTTTAGACCAGTCTAAATAAAATCTTAACACTCATAATTATTACGTTGGGGAAACATTTTTATCTACCCCAAACAGCAACCTTGGCAAATACTAAATTAAAAAATTCTAATTGGTTTCAAGTCTTGTCACACAGAAAATCCTTCATGGAAGGATGAAATAAAATACCTTGTCAGGCTTTTGAAATGGTAGTTTTTTTTCCCTAGGGAATCAAGCAAAATTTTGAAATGTGTAACACTTAACACATGTTTTACAATGAAAAAAGAAGCTGTTTTTTATTATACTATACTGAGAGTTTGGAGCAAAATGCCTCAGCTGTTGTTCAGCCTCCTTCCAACCAGATTTGTTGTTGTTGTTGTTGTTGTTTTGAGACGGAGTCTCACTCTGTAACCCAGCTTGAGGACAGCGGCACTATCTCAGATCCTGCAACCTCCGCCTGGGGCTTAAGTGATCCTCCCACCTCAGCCTCCCTAGCTGGGATTACAGGCCTGCGCCACCACGCCTGGCTAATTTTGTATTTTTAGTAGAGATGGGGTTTCACTATGTTGGCCAGGCTGGTCTCACACTCCTGACCTCAAGTGATCCACCCTGTCTGGCCCCAACCAGATTTTGACTTGCTAAAACCATACTTAAGATATTAAATGCCACAAACTACCACAGGGTTATTTTACACTAAGAGAATTATAACCCCC